GAATACTTTTTATTCATAGAAATCTTAGATCTGAAAAGAATGTTAGAATTTATCCAGTTGCATATACTCTAATTTTACCTATTCAGAAACAGAGACCTGGGAAGTTGAGTGACTTTCCCAAACATCCCAGGGTGGTTGTAGATTTAGAACTGGTCTTCTGCTCTCTGATTGGAGCGGTTTCTATTATTGATTTGATACCCCCATGATCTTTTAAAAGTTTTATAGTTATATGACAGCATTTCTACAAAAACCCCTAATCCTTTTTTTAAAAAAAGCATTAGTGACACTGAAACTAATAAAAACATTATTATTATTTAAAGTAGTTATCGAAACATTCAACTTGATGGTATCATTCTAGCAGTTCTCAGGAAAGGTCAAGGTTTGAATGTAAACTGGAACCTCAATAGATTTTTTCTTTGAGTTGAACCTGAAGGAAACAGCACATAAAAGTTTTCTGGGCAAATTTCCAGCATCGTAGCACATGAGGATTGCCATGTCTGGTAAAGAGTTTCAGGAAGAAAGAATGCAAGAGACTTGTGGAATTTTCTTCTGTTGAGGTTCTAAACATTCATAAAAAGCTTGCCTCTGTATTTCCCTTAATTAAGAGCATGGGACTTCACAGTTTGCTCTGACTTCTTAACTCTCTTTTCAAATGAAACAAAATTCTGTGTGTAGAGAATATGTATATATGTGTGTGTGTGTATCTGCGTATATACACACATATGTATTTATATACAATATATACAACACATGTACATATATATCGAATCCATTTCTATATGCAAAATCAAATAAGCAATGCATTCACATTTCTAAAGGTACAGCATGATGTATGGTGGGGGAGATCTTGCTCTGACGCCCGTCCTCTCTGCAAGAAGCCCTCTTTCCAGAAGCAACCACTTCTACAAGTTTCTTTTGCAGCTTCCAGAGATAATCAATTTATATTTATATATCTATTTACAACTATGTAAATATTCATTTAAAAACAAATACTATATACACTGTCCTATGCCAGGCTTTTAAAAAAATTTATAATATGTCTGGGAGATTGTACCACATCAGCACATATAAAGCTGCTTCATTCATTTTAATGACTGCATGTATCAGCGCTGCATTATGGAATATAGTGTTTAATACTACATTCCGCCACATGAAATATTAATATTATGCTAATATTTATTGATTGATTTAATTTTAGTTTTATTTACATTTATTAATAACATATTAATATATAACCAGACCTCCACTGATATTTAACTTGCTATCTTTTGCTCTTAAACCATGTTAAAAAATAATGTCATTTGCACACATATGCGTTTATCTGTAGATGAGAAAGATTTCTAGGTTGAATGAAGTATGTACATTTGTAATTTTGATTGATCTTGCTAACATGTTCTTCATTTACATCACTGTGTCCTCAGCATTATAATATGTTCATCAAACTTTTTGATACTTACTAGTCTAATGGGTGAAAAATATTATCCCATGTAGCTGTGAATTGCATTGCTCTAATGTGAGTGAGGTTGATAATTTTTTCAGATGCTTAAGAGCCATTTGTATTTCCTTTTCTGTGAGCCATCTGTTCTTTTTTCTTCCTTCCTTCCCTTCCTCCATTTCCTCCCTCCTTCCTTTCTCTCCCACCTTCCTTCCTTCCTTCTGTCCTTTTTTTTTTTTTTTTCTGGGTTTCAGACTTACTATCATTGACTGTAGAAGCTCTTTATATGTATAAAAAATTAGCCTATTGGGTTTATGAATTGTAGGACTTCTCACCTGCCCCCCATTCCTTGATTGTCATGTATGTTTTTGGTGGAGCTTTTGTTTGTTTTAGAATGCTATAAATTTTGTTTTAATGTGTTGAATTTATCAGTCTTGCTTTATGCCATTCATAGGAAGACTTTCTCCATTCTAAGATCATAACACAAACTTCCACGTGTTGTCTCAGTGCTGTTATGGCTTTACTTTTTAAAGTTAATCATTTAGGGGCACCTGGGTGGCTCAGGCGGTTAAGCATCTGCCTTCAGCTTAGGTCATGATCCCAGGGTCCTGGGGTCCTTCCTGGGATCAAGCCCCATGATGGAGCCCTGGGTCAAGCTCCTTGCTCATCAGGAGGTCTGCTTCTCCCTCTCCCTCTCCTTTTCCCCCTCTCTGCTCCTGTGTGCTCTCTCTCAAATAAATAAAATATTTAAAAAATAAAGTTAATTTAATTCATCTAGAATTTATTGAGGTAAAAGGGGTGAAGTAGGTCATCCTTTGTTTCAGATGGCTATCCAGTTTTCTCAAACTGTTTACTGACCTCACATCTTTTCTCCGTTGACTTGAAATGCCACCTTGACTGCACACTTGATTTCCATATGTGTCCTTGACCTGTTTGTAATTTGTTCCTCTGACCTTCTCACCTGCCCATCATACTGCCTTATGTGTCTGTTAATGTTTCAGAGAGCTGGTGCCCCTGAGAGCACCTTTTGTTTTGAGAGCTACCTTGCTATTTTTGCGTTATTCTACCATATGAACTTTAAAGTCAACTTGTGTAGTAACCTCAGCAAACTAAAAAATATATATCTAAAACTATATTTTTTGAATTGGGAGTTCATTCCATTATACACGTACAGCTTAGAGAGAATTGACACTTTTTTGATGCTGTCCTTCTTATTTACAATCATGGAATATCTTTTTAATCATAATTTTTCTTTTTTATTGCTTAGTAGCATTTCAAAGTTTTCTTCATATAAACTTTTGCCTATTTAAGATTTTCTAGATGTTTTACTTTTGTTATTATAATAAATTAGGTTTCTTATGTTGTATTATTTTGCAGGTGAGTGTGTGTGTGTGAAGGCTATTATCAACATACTCATTTTCTACCCTGTACCTTTTTGAAGTAGTTTTTCTGTTGATATTTTTGGATTTTCTGGGAAAACAATCATATTATTTGTGAACAATGATAATTCTTTTTTTCCAATTTTGGTTCTTCTTTTCTTTCCTTATCCATGACATTGGCTAATATCTTCTGAACAATAATAAGTAATAATAGTGGTAGTGATGTCTTGTCTTGACTTTATTGGTAATATTTCTAGTCATTTGAAATTTAGTAATAAATAAAAAAATTCTCACTCATATGCATGTGTGTGTATGTAATTATGTAAGGAAATAGCCAACTATTCTTCTTTTATTGAGAAATTACATTAAGAATGAATATAAATATTCTGAAATAATATTCTGATTTATCATGATGATGTACCACTTGGTAAGTTGCTAGAGATCACTTAATTGTACACTTGAAGTAGGTCAATTTTACGATATATTAGATATACTTCAGTAAAGTAGTTTTTGAAAATAAATAAATACAGTATTTTATCAGTACCTTTTAAGTTTCTTAGAGGTGATCATATGCTATTTTGCTTTTACTCTAGTTATATGGTGACTTGTTTAAATAATACAAAATCCTTATATTCCTAGAATAAGTTCCACTTACTCATAGTATGTTAATCTTTTTTATATACTGCTCAGTTCTGTTTGCTAATTTTTAAATTTAGGATTTACATAAGTGTTTATGGAGAAGGGAGATTCGTAAGTAGTTTCTCTTTTGTGTATTTTCTTTGTTAGGTGTTGGTATCAATATTATACCTTACTCTTTAAATAAGTATTTAGAAACTTTCCTTCTTTTACCTCGTGTGGAATAACTTAAATATTATCAGAATTGTCCCTTTAAACCTGCTTAGAATTCACCTCTGAAGCCATCTAGGCCTGTCTTTGTTTATTTATGTATTTATTTCTCAGAAGGGTGGTCTGTCAGGAGAATAGCCCTTTGACTTCCATTTCATTATAGTATTGACCTATTCATTTTTTATTTTTATTTATTTATTTATTTTAAAGATTTTTATTTATGTATTTGACAGAGAGAGACACAGCAAGAGAGGGAACACAAGCGGGGGAATGGGGGAGGGAGAAGCAGGCTTCCCGCAGAGCAGGGAGCCCGATGTGGGGCTCGATCCCAGGACCCTGGGATCATGACCTGAGCTGAAGGCAGACGCTTAACGACTGAGCTACCTAGGCGCCCCTATAGTATTGACCTATTTAAATTTTCTGTTTTTTTTTTTTTTAATGGAGTGTGATTCCTTAAGTATATATGACATGATACTTAGTAAACATCTTCAGGTCATACTGATTGAGTCCCTCCTGATGAAAGGTGAGATGATCAGTAATGTTGAGTTATTGTTTTTGAGAGTGGTAGCTCTTTTCTCATATTTGGTATTTTATGGTATTTAACAGTTATTTCTGCCACTCCCAGGTTTAGACAGTAAGGACTGTTCCATTTTTTATTGTTGAGATGGTGATATTGTAAACCATGATGTGCATTTACACTGCTCTGTAGACCACCATTATTATGGTCTTTGGTACACTTGAGGAAGAGAGCCCAGTTTTATTGCTGGTCATGTGGCAGACACACTGCCTGTCCTTAAGAGAGGCACAGTTGATTTATCTTGGTCTTGTATTTTGTAGGTTCTCAGTAATTCCAGTGAATGAAATATTTGTTTAGTATCTACTATGTGTGTGTTTGCCGAGGATATAATGTTCCAAGAGACAACATATGTTATGAATGCAAAATTGAATTAAATAAATATTATGGTAAAGATATATATTCAGGCAGACTGAAGGATACAGTTTTCATGCTTGCCTGGGGGAGAATGACTTTGAAATAATTTCTAGATAGAATGGAAAGTAAATATTGATTCAGTTACTCTTATATCTGGCCTGTATTTACAAATTAATATAGAGCTAAAACTGTTTTAAGCAGTATTTTTGCTTTTCCGTATGAATTGGATAATATGCCAGGAAAAGGAAATCAACCGTGGAGTAACAGAGCTACAAAAAATGAAAATACTGATCTAAATTTAAATTATGCTTATTTTAAAACATTTAAGAAAAAAAAGTGTTGATAGTTGACAATTGTACTGGATTATATTGAAGATTTATTGACAAAATATTCTTTCCTTTTCTCACAGATTTATCTAAAAACAGACTGGTCGAAGTCCCAATGGAATTGTGCCATTTTGTATCACTGGAAATTCTTAATCTGTATCATAATTGCATCAGAGTCATTCCTGAGGCCATCATTAATCTGCAGATGCTGACTTACTTAAACTTGAGGTAGGTTGACTTATAAGGATTGTAATCAAATTCAGTGAAAAAAAATCCAAATAATTGTGCTTTCATTTCTATCAGGTATTTTTTTCTCTTTGCAAATCCTGATCACCCTTTGAAGTAAATCACACAAAGATTATTTAAGAACTACCTTTCATAATAAATTTGTTTTGCCATTAATATTGTTTTTGGTGCTAGACTTCTCTGGATATCAACATGACAAGGTATTTTTGTTTAGTTTTTTTTACAGTAATTTATATGGCATCATTTATATGTCTCTTTGGTGCCTGGTATATTGTCTTCATGTATTGATGTAGTTTTTGGAGGAGGAGGGCTAAAGGAAGTGAAAAAAGAACTTAGGGGTTGTGACAAATTGGGGCCTTGCCGGTCTTTGGGAGTTTTTGTACGATTGGATTTGCTCCTTAGTCCTGTCTGAGCCTGTTCCCTTTAGGCCACCTGAGAAAATTCAAGAGCACTGAGCAGCTCCAGAAAGATAGGAAGTCTACTCTCTTTGTAACCCCATTCAGTTAGATCAGCATTTGCTGAGGACAGGTCAGCGGTCTGTATTAATTCCCTAATTATGCACAGCACGGTGTAACATATTAATGCCCCTGAGCAGCCCTGAAGTTAAGAGAATCAGCTTTCATGAGGCCTAGGTTTTAGACTTTGTGCTTTGGCTGTCAGCTGCTCTGGCCAGATTTTGGTTCCTTGTCTCCTAAATCTTTGACTCACACAGGATGCCGGGAGAGAGATAGGAACTGTTCAATCAAATCTATCTCTACTATGGAAACAAGTTTCCAAAGGGCAAGCCAGAGCAAAGCCTCTACTCATGTCAATGGCATTATCTTGGTGTGTTAAGAGCAGCACCTCATTAGCAAGCCTTGTGCAGTGTAACAAACATGGCAAACTTTAAAGTGCAAAATTCCCAATGAACCAGATAGAGCATTAACTTATTATAACAATGTCAATTATTTTTTTGTTGGTTTGTTCGTTGGTTGGTTGGTTTTTAGTTGACCACTGAGAGTTGGGGTCTTCTCTTGCTTTGTTTGCGGTCAAAAATGGGTTTCCACTGCAATACATTAGTTGTGCATATCCTTCTTGGGAGTGAAAAAAATATCCTAGTCATGTTTTTAAGTGGCTTGGTGAATAAGATGTAAGTTACTATTAGCATAACCTAGAGGCTTATATAGCTAACTTTCACTTCTCCAGGTTTCTAGTTCATCTGACCATTTTGAGTTTCCTTGAATACAACAGTCTAAACTATTTCTGCAACAGCACAATGTTCATTACCTTAGAATTGCCCGATGGAGCCAACCTAGTGGCGTCTATAAGGTTTGGTTCACTAGTTCCCTGAAACATCTGCCCTCTAATTCAAACCTGCATAGAGGAAATATCCCAAGAGCATATGCAGTTGTTGTGTTTGCTTACCTAGGTCTGTCCTTCTGTGACATTTTTCACCTCCAGTAGTCCTGCATGCAACACATAAGGAGATTTAACTTCGCACTCTTACACTAAGTCTATACGCAATGAGAAACTTTTGGGTATAGGTGACATATCTCTTCTGGGATGATATGAACTATAAAATTATACAAACATGAGATAATCTAATCTTAAAATTTATATTATGTTTTAAAAGCACTAATACAATTGGTTTTGGTGTGATGATTTTCATGTTGGGCTTAGTCAAGAGTAGAATAATATTGCTACTTCAGATGGTAGAAAGGATATATTGAAGTGTGGGTTGCAGGATCCTTTAAGGCAAGAATGGAGAGAGTCATTGAGGCTGATGATGCTGAAGAGGAACTGTGTGTATATTGTAAACAGTTTTGTGGTGAATTTCTAGGTGATAGGAAGAAGAAAAAGATAAAGGGACTGTTGAACACCCAACTCTTTAAGCGTTGTTTTCTGTTTAATTCCTTGTTTGCCTCTATCTTTTCTTCCCTTTATATAGGTCACTTTTATTTTGTGTTTTCTTTGCTCACATCTCTACTTTAATATTACTGTGCTTTAAGACATATTCTGTAGTGTTGAATCCCAACTCTTCAAAGGATTGATAACTACATGGAGAAAATTAAGAAAAAGTATCTCTTACTTTTCAGAGGTGTTATACCAGGGTATATGAAAAATGTATGTATATCCTTGGGGCCCCTGGGTAGCTCAGTCGGTTAAGTGTCCAAATCTTGATTTTGGTTCAGGTCATGATCTCAAGGTCATGAAATCGAGCCCCTCGAAGGGCTCCATACTAGGCATGGAGCCTGCTTAAGATTCTCTCTCTCCCTCTCCCTCTGCCCACCCCCAACAGCTCATGCACGCTCTCTCTCCCTGAAAGAAAGGAAGGAAGGAAGGAAGGAAGGAAGGAAGGAAGGAAGGAAGGAAGGAAGGAAGGGAGAAAGAAATTGTACGTACATCCTCCAAACTCTTTGAAAGACAGGTACACATACATAATTATTTTTGATGCCTCTTTTAAGTTTATTTCACAAGTGTAAGTATGTAACATAAAATAATAACATAGGGCAAGCTTTAAAGTTACCAGGAAAATGGTCACCTTGTTCAATTACAAGCCTTTAATTCCTGATTTATAGGTTTGGTGGGAACATGTCTTCTGAGAATCGGACCCCTGGAATTGAGTTATTTCTCTGTTTGATAGTGATTTGAAGTGGAATGCTATATTTGCCTAAAGGATTTATTGTAGCTTGTAAAATAGTAGATGACTGTCACATCTGTTTATTTGCAGATATGTAATAATGTCTGGAAAATACCAGTGGCGTCTAATAAAATTGTTAACTCTTCTAAGATGCTGAGTGATATCATCCACATGATAGTGGTGTCTGTGTGAGTTCTTCCTGTCTCAAACTCCTACTGCACTTCCAGCCACCCTCAAGCTGGTGACCAGGGAGGGGGACATGTAGAATATTGTGCTTGTGTGTGATCATGATATATGTCCCCTCCTCGATATCCAGGATTGGGTGTTATGGCCTTTTCAGGTCTTTTCTGCCTGTCATGAAAATTAAGTCAGCAAAATAAAATATATTTCTTCTTGGGTATGGTGAAGGGGCACGGAGGACTCCGGTTAACTTTAGCCTGTGGAAGAGAGGCTGCCAATCCATTTACTTGAAAAGGAAGCAAGGGACTCCGGATGCTGTGAACATACAGCCTCATAGAAGAATTACCAAGTTGGGCGCCTGGGTGGCTCAGTTGGTTAAGCGACTGCCTTTGGCTCAGGTCATGATCCTGGAGTCCCGGGATGGAGTCCCGCATCGGGCTCCCTGCTCGGCGGGGAGTCTGCTTCTCCCTCTGACCCTCCTCCCTCTCATGCTCTCTGTCTCTCATTCTCTCTCTCAAATAAATAAAATCTTTAAAAAAAAAAAAAGAAGAATTACCAAGTTGTCTTCAATGTAGTTTTTTTCTGTGATAAATTGGGTATTCTGCCAAGGAAAGAAGTTTATGTTCTAGACAGAAGTATATAATCAAATCATGGCATTATCACCAATTTAGATGCATCAGGGAAAATCTGCATAAGTTTCAAAAAATTAAAGAAAAAATAAATTGCTTTTAGGCATACACTTAAGGCAGACTGTATCAACCATAGCATGTTCTGAAACAGCTTTAACAAATAGGCAAGTTCATCAGCTTTTATAAATAAGTACCTGGAAATACTTTCTCTTCGGTGGTACTTAAGGGTTTTTCCTCTTATTTCTATTAACTACGAATGAAGAGCTGTAAGATAAAGTAACGCAGAGAAGCTGCTTTTCAAATGTTCACAGATTTCATGTTTCTGAACTTAAATCAAACATGGTCTCCCTGTATTTTTAGTGTTTCCTCCTTTTTAATAGATCACATGTGGAAACCACTAGTTTCGTATGTTTCAAAAGCAGGAGGGATGCCATATGAAGCTACTTTGAGTTGATGGAAAACATTCAAAATAGGTGACACCCTCTGAAATATATTGGGTATTCCAGCGGAGTAAACAGCCATGAGTGTTTGATGGTCATGGTGATAAGGATGACAGTGAAGATGACGGTAGGTGTGGTGGTGATTATATACACTGCCTACACGGGTTCTCGGCTGTCGGGATCGCTCACAGATGTTATCTTTAAATGTCAAATGGCTGCTTAATGCCAGAAACCCAATTCCTGTCTTCGACCAGAGATGGGTTTGATTAGCACATGCAGAATAAAACTCTTCGCTGTGAAATACAGTGAAAAACACGTCAGCATTTTCCCACATGATAGAAATGTCAGATTCGTGGAAAACATTAATTTATTGCTGTTTATGTAGCCTGTGTTTGAAGGCCCTGGGCTTTTAATCTTTGCTTCTTGGTATTCACAACAAAAGGTTATGTTAGTTTAGTGTAGGTGCCACTGTGTTTCTTCCTGTTATAAAATGTCTTAATCCCAGAAATGTGGCCAAGAACAATAAAAATGATTAAACAAGACCTGTTCCTATATAGGAACAAACACTTTGAACCTGAGTTCCACAGGAAAGCCTTACAAAGTTCAGAATCTATTTTAAGGTGCTGGAGAGGTTGTGTTGATGAGACCCATGAAAAAAATGTACCTTAGGAAAATAGAACAGTCCAAAGCAGCAAAACTCTTGGCTGGAACCACAGAGATCCTATGAATCTAAGAATAGGGACTTCAGCTTTTGAAAGTTATTTTTCAGAGAGGTTCAGGAATAGAAGCTGCCAAAAAATGAAAGTTCTTTACAGCATTTGAGCATAGTGCTTCCAGAACTCTTGGTGAGTGGTTTTACCTTCTGAGGGTGAAACATACAAAACGGGAGCTGGTTTCTTCATATGAAGCCCCTGGGGCGCCTGGGTGGCTCAGTCGGTTAAGCATCTGACTCCTGGTTTCGGCTCAGGTCATGATCTCAGGGTCTTGAGATCGAGCTCCGCTTTGGACTCTGCGCACAGCACAGAGTCTGCTTGTCCCTCTCCTTCTGCTCCTCCCCTTGCACTCTCTCTCTCTCTCTCTAGAATAAATAAATAAAATCTCAAAAAAATAAAA